CAGCTGCTGCTCTGCCTTCTGTTTTGCAGCGTCATTTGTTCTGTCATGAGCAGAGGGCAGCAGAAGGCCCCCCCAAATCTTACAGCTAAATTAGGCCCCCTGGGTTCCATGTGGTGGTGACAGTGGAAGCAAAGGGTTGCAGAAGGGCTTTGGGACAGTAAGGGAATGACTAAAACAGCAGGTGAAGATCCAGCATTGATAAGTGGAAGATGATAGATGTGGCAGAGAAACAACCATAACGCTGATGCTCTCCCTACTTAATCTAAGTCCACTCCAGAAAGAGATCTGGGGAACTGTAATCGTACTGCTGGTCTAGTTGACAGGGTGTTGTTGGGTCATTGTTTGGACGTGATTATCTCAGAGGTCTTTCCCAACCTAGTTGATTCTGTGACAAGTTTGTGACTCTCACTGAAAGGCATCCCTAGAAGGGGAGCCAGGAGGACAAGCCTGTGGATCTGTCCCTATGGTTTCTGTGTCGAATTCTCACCTTCCAGTTAGGTGCAAATCAGGGTACTTTTGTACCTTCCATTGTTTGTGGTCGCAGTGCACAGAATGCCCCAGAGGTGCAATTGGTGCAAAACATTTCCCGTAAAGCAAGGGCTAGAACAAAGCCACACAGCTCCCAGGCCGCCTCACATTCCTCCCCAGACCCGTGGCAGCACAGACCACCAGCCCTCCACCCAGTTTTGTCTGCTCTGATCACCGTGGGCCCCATGTTGAGCTTTGTGGTTTTTTCACTGCTTTATGATTCTAACAGTAGTTCTCTGGAAGTGTCAGCTCTGTACTCAGAAGCAGGCTGAAATGTGATTGGAATAGTGAGAATTATTAAGGAAAGAGGAAAAATACAGAGTGATCTTGTGACTTCCTAGTATAAATGGTAACCCATCCCTTTGGAGGTGGTTTGTTCCTCTTCGAGTGTAGCCAGAGGAGTGGAGAAGTGACAGAGGTGAAAAAAACTGCAGACCAGCTTCTGTACAAAGAAGAGCTAAATAGTTTCAGATTGCTCAACTTTAAAAAGAGACAGCAGGAGAAATAGTAACAGAACAGTGCTGTCATGAGTGCTACTGAAAGAGAGGAGCAAGGATTTCTTGCCTTTTCAGACAGATCCAAGGGTGTCAGCTGGAATCCCTGAGTGGCAGGCTTAAGCCCTGCAAAAGCAAGGCATTATTTAGATAAAATGTAATTAAACTGTAAAACTGGAAACCCGCCCTTAGCCTCTCCCTTCTTGCGCAAGAGCAGCCAGCCAGTTCCTCCATATCCTCTTCCTGGTAGTACTCTGTAGCAGAAACTTGGGAAGAGCACAAGTTCTTGTTGGGGTGTGTTGGGTTTGCATGGCCAGGTTTGGGTGATGGAGGAGCTACAGGGATGGCTTCAGTGAGAAGCTGCCGGAAGCTTCCCCCGTGTCCAGCAGAGCCAGTGTCAGAACTGACCCTCTGCTGGCCAAAGCTGAGCCCAGCAGGAATGATAGTAATGCCTCTGTGGTAACACATTTAAGAAGGAGAGAAAAAAAGTTATTGGGCAGAGAGGAGTGGGGTGGGAATGTGTGAGAGGAGCAACTCTGCAGACACTGAGGTCAGTAGAGAAGAAGGGACAGGAGATGCTTCAGGTGCCAGAGCTGGGATTCCCCTGCAGCCCCTGGTGCAGACCATGGGGAGGCAGCTGTGTCCCTGCAGCCCATGGAGTTTCATAGAGATGCAGCGATCCACCTGCAGCTTGTGGAGGAGGTGGATGCCTGAGAGAGGGCTGTGGCCCTGTGGGAGGTCCATGCGGGAGCAGATTTCCTGGTAGGACTTGTGACCCTTGGGGGGACCCATATTGGAGCAGGCTGTGCCTGAAGGACTTCACTCCAAGGGAGAGTGACCTATGTTGGAGCTGTTCATGGAGAACTTTTGTTCATGGGATAGACTCACGGAGAAGTTTGTGGAGGACTGTCTATGGTGGGAGGGACCCCAGCACTGGATCAGGGGAAGGGCTACTTGAGTATGGCAGGAGCAATGAATGATGGGCTGACCATAATCCCCATTTCCCACCTCCCTGTTCCTCTTGGGGGAAGCAGGTAGAGTTTGGAAAGAAGGGACAGGTGAGGGCAAGGTGGTTTTAAAATTTATTTTACTTCTCATTATCCTGCTCTGATTTTTTTAGTAATAAATTCAGTTAACTATCCCCAAGCTGAGTCTGCTTTGCTTGTAATGGCATTTGGTGAGGCATCTCTCCCTGTCTTTAACCCCATGAATCCTTTGTTATATTTTCTTTCTCCATCCAGTTGTGGAGAGGAGTGATAGAGTGGCTTGGGGAACTGCCTGGCATCCAGACAGGGCCAACCTACCACAGTGGGCCAGGGTATGGGGCTAAACAGGGCAGTAGGTGCAGGCTGGCTGCTTCTGCACAGAGGAATGGCCAAGAGCTGTACTTCCACTGCCTCAGGATCCCTACAAAAGTGCTGGAGTAACCCCAAAGCTGACCTTGACCAAGTGTCTTCTTTTCTCCATCAGCACCAGGATTTCTCCGGAGCCTGTAAGAACACCAGGGACTGTAGACTCTGCCTTTAGCCCCTTCCTTAAAAAATTCCTGGACCTGGATCCTCTGACTGGGCCTGAGCAGGGCCTATGTGTCTGCATCGATTCCAGGTATTTGTTTGCTGCAGAGAGCTTTTCCTGTGTTCTAGGCCATTCAAACTCTAGCTTGTTCTTCTTTGGAATTTATTTCTTTTCTATTCTAGTTCTAATATGTCTTTGTGTTTCTGTTTGTTTCTATTGTGTTTGTTTATTGCTCAAGTTAAGAAACTGATATGATAGTCAGTGTATAGATGGGTATTGGAAATCAGTTTCTACCCTGCCTTGCTTACAAGACATAGAAGCACAGAAGGGAAAAAGAACTCCAGCTGTGTGCAAAGGCAAAGTGACTTGTGATTATAAGTAAGTTGTCACTAGTGTGAGCCAGAGGAGAGAAAACATAAAACATCCTCTTCTACTCTGGTGGTGTTTCACTTGGGGCTACCCAGTCTGTTTTAGGCAAGGGAGATGGGAGCTAATGAAAACAGTTTGTCTGTTGAAACCCAGAAAAAGGTAGCAGGATTTGTTGGACTATGAAATTTCCTGCCTATTTTGTACTTGGGCCTTACTACCTCTCACTAGAATAATTTGACTTCAGATCCTCCTATTTCTTGAAAGTAAATGCAGATTTTTCTTCCCCCTTCTCCTACAGGAGTTTGTGCTGTCAGAGGTTACATCTCCAGCAGAGGACAGTTTGGAGAATCGCACCTTATAGGAGTGGGAAGTTGTTGAAGATTTCTGTGGTGGACTTCCACAAAAAACAAAGTAAAATTTCTGCTGCAAATGTTGTGGGGTGATGCTCTAACCTGCTGGTGAGGGATGTGTGTAAAGGCTTGTACAGAAACATTTAGACTGCTTTTGTGAAGTAAGTAGCTGGCCTCAGAATTTTGCAGCTGCTGGAGAAAGGCTGTGTGAAGAACAATTAAGACTTGAGTGGATATGGCCAGGAAAAGATAACAGGTGTTCCTGGGGCAATTTTCCCCTCAGGGAAAATTCTGTCACTCCCGTTAGCATTTCATCTTGTTGAGAGAGAATGTTTGAATCTCTAATTATGATTTTTTTCTTGTACCTCAATTTACTTGTAGACCTCTCCACACTACTTTGCTGCATCCTTCTTACAATAAGAAATTAGTGTTTCTTCCTTGTTTTCTGTGAACTCCTGGAAGGCACTGGCAAAGCTTGGGGGCTGCTGTTTTCGGTTCTTTGTTGACTTGCAGACCCACATGTGGCAGCAGTAGGTTAAGAAAACACAAGTGATTGCCCTTCTCTGGTTATAAATGAGTTTCATACCTTAGGGCATGACTTGCTGGGCTGCTCTTGGATCTGTTTTTGGAGCAGATATTGCCAAGCAAGCTTGAAAACTTTTGTATTACCCCTTATGACTTGTTAGTGACTTTCTAAGAGGAGATAAACCACTCTTTCTCTTGCTCTAATTGCTGGACCTCTTTCGATCTGGTTTCCATCCCACTGCTATGCCAAGAGCAGGCTTTGCCTGTTCTACCGGTTGTTGTTACTGGAGGAGGAAACCACCGAGGGTCTGGAATGTAGGTGAAAGAGCAGTCAGAGGGCAGGTGTTGGCAGGCTCTGCTTTCTTCTGTCCTGCTTGACCTGTGGAAGTTGTCAATTGCTTTGTGTTTTGTCCCAGTTTTCCTGCTCCAGGTGCTTTCTGGATAATGGCGAAGATGGTGAGAAGAAGATGTGCATTTTGTTCAGAAGGGGAGGCTGGCTCTGTGATGTATATCGCCACAGAGAGAGATATTGCAGCTCATCAGGATTGTCTGGTTAGTGCCTTTAGCTGGTCAATACTGAAGAGAAGTGGAAAAGGGATAAAGGGGGAAGTTTCCACTGCTTACCTGTTTTTTGATTTTGCCATGATGTCGGGATTGAAAGGCTGGTTAGTCAAACCAGCAAGTTTATATTAGATTGAAAAGCTGTGAAAAGGAAAAGTGATTTGGCCAGGATTCTGTAGTGGGAGAGGATGTGTCTGCACACCCAGAGCTGTTGATTTGTGATGTTTTCATGGATGTCTGTTGCTAATCAGTGGTCCCAGACACACATGAAAACACTACAAAGACCACATATGACCTAGCAACAGGAGTAGGTCTTCTTGAGACACTGTTGAGACTCATCCTCTTGGATGAGGGTCCTCAGACCACAGAAAGTTGTGTACTTAAATCTTTGCAAGAAAATATCTATACCTCTTGATGGTTAAAAAACTTTCCAGTGTGTGTCTTATTTAAAATAAGGAATAAAAATATCAGAAGTTGATAATATAAAAAAATCTGTGAAGCTCTAAGTGTGTTGTGATCCTTCTACTCTCTTGCCTCCCCTTTATTCTGGAATGTTGGTGAATCTGGTTCTTGATGTGCAGAATCAATTATAGCTGCTGTATTCTTCCTTCAGCAGAGGTAGAATATAGCTGAGGGCCATTTAGTGCCAGAGATTGCTGCTAGAGCAACTTTCTGTCACTGTCTCAGCCTTATTCTTAAAATTGTTACATCTACATTGTTATTTTTCTGATATCTTTTTTGGCTGGTTATTTTTTTAACAGAATGTTTCACAGTGATGTTTTTTTACAGCACTTGAATGTTCTGTTTGAAACAGGTTTTATTATGGCTTTAATTCTCTGTGTATTTTCTTTTCTTCTTTCTCTTTTCTTTCTTCTCCCATCAACTTTACTCATTTCTCTGCCTTAGACTTGTTTGCACTGTTTGGGTTTTTTTTGCAGTCAGCTTATCACCTTCTGAGCAGACAGACTGTGCCTGCTAGATGATGAAAGGGTAGCTCCCTTTTATTTGGAATTTGCTACATATAATGCTTAGGAAATAATTGCCAGGAACTGCCCTTTCCTCACTCATTGTCATGGCTCAGTAGTTCTGTGGGAATTAAAGTGGCTTGAGTGTGCACGTGTGTATTTTTAGGGGGTTTCTCCCAGGATGTGTACAATGTTTCTGGTATTTTCCTGCAATCAGCTGTTGTCAGCATTGGGCTATGTGGAAATCTTATTACAGAAAAATGTCACATCCAGCTGTAGGTCTGAACAACTGAGCATGTAGTAAAATGTCCAAGGTGTGGAGGTCTGTTGCTTGAAGATCTTCTCATCCTACCTCTGGGCAACCTGGAATTTCAGATTTTCTTTGTTCATGTTTTTAATCAGTTCACTTTTTCACCTTACTATCTTTTCTTAGTTTACCTTCAGGTTATTTGACATCTCCTATGAGGAAGGAGAAACTTCTTTTGACTGCAGAAATTTCTAAGCACAGCTCCTTGTTCAGTGTAGGTGAAACCTCTTGAAGATAGAGAAAAATCAGCCTCATTATGTAGGGCAAGAAAAGATGTATTCCTTGTCTCTTTTTTGCACTGGTGACTGAGTCATTCTTATTTCTTAAAATTGTCTCTTTTGTTTTTAGTTATTTTCCTCAGGATTTGTGGAATCTGAAGATCAGAACCCAGAAAATCTGGAAATAAGGTTTGATGTGTCATCAGTGTTAAAAGAGCTCAGGAGAGGAAAGCGGCTGGTAAGGAAATGTTTCTGAATATGCAGTTAGTCCTGTCTTATATATTGAAGGCTGTCTGGCCTTCATTATAATAATGAAAAAAATTCATAAAAGTAGCTGGTCCTTCTGATATAGTAAGATTACAGAAATTAAGAGTTTGGTGTTGGAGTTGTTGATTTAACATTTGGTTTGGTGAAATTTAGTTAATTCTGTATTAAAATGCAGGTGGGTTTTTTTTCTGGCCCTTATGTCCTTAGTCAGTTTCCTGAGACTTTGGTAAAGAAGGAAGCCAGTGCCTGAAACAAAAGAATGTGATCCACAATTGGAAAGGGGAGCACCTTCTGAGTTTAGCAGAAATAAGATTATTTTAATGAGACTTTTTTTAATTGCCTTTGTCTTCAGCTGCTCTCCTTCCCTACGTCCTGGGTGGAACTCTTTTCATTATGAAGTTAGCCTAGAAAACATAAATACAAACATTAACACTAATTAATGTTAAAATAACTTGGGCAAGTTACTCAGTGCCCTCACATGGCTCTTTGACTCATTTTACAAATTTATCAATATGAAATAGAAGTGAGATAGCAAAAGGGTGGCGGAAATAATGACCAGGGCAGGAGTTTGCAGGAGTGAATTTGCCCGATGAATTACACAGAGGTGATTTGCAATGGAATACTAGCTTTTTCCACAGACAGTGGCATTTGCCCTGCCTGGCAGGATTTGGAGGAACTGCCTGTGACATTTACTTGGTGAAACCCCTCCTGTTGTAGGTGTGCAACTTCTGCCGCAAGAAGGGGGCCACGGTGGGCTGTGAGGAGCGCACGTGCCGCAGGAGCTACCACTTCTTCTGCGCGCTCTGCGATGACGCAGCCGTGGAGACCGACCAGGTCAACGGCATCTACCGGTACTCACCGAGTGTCCTCTGTCACTGCCAGCCTCTGGGGGTGTCAGCAAGAGGGACTTCCTTGGGTGGGGCTTAAGGGGATTTTAGGGAAGGAAATAAGTTCTCCTCTCCTAAAGTGATGCTTAATCCTCTGTTTACAAACTGTGGGAGAAATGTTTTCATTTCACAAGGAAAACTTCACTGCAGTGGGAGGGAATCTGTTTAGTGCTTAAGTCTGAAACATCACTGAAAGATAACAGGGCCAAATCTGAGAAAGTCAGTCCTACTGACTCTCTAGCTAATCTTCAAGAAAAAAGACTTTTGTTAATGTCACTCAGATTCTAAATCCTTTCTTGGTTCAGAAGCTCCAGTAAATGTGGTCTGAGTGCAGAGCAGGTTATAGCACTTCTAGGTTTGCTCACATTAGGCAGGTTTGGGTAATTTTCCCTCTCTATGCTAGGAAAGAACTTTAATTCCCACCAAAGGCCTTGTATTTTCAGTATGTTGCTAGCATTAACACAATTGATTGGATTCTAAGTAAATTTTCTGTTCTGATCCTTCTAGTCCTTGTGACCACTGCCCTTGGTCTGCCTGCATGGCCACTGACAGATGGAACAAACTTTGGAGGATGCAGATGAAGGAGTTGAAAACCCGTGGCTTCAGGGACCTTTAGAAATGCTGAAGTTATAGTGATGTCTGAGGTGCATAAAGGCCCTGGTACTCATTTCTGTGCAAGGCCAGAGAGATCACAGGTCGCATTAGATTAATTTGAGGATTGTCTAATCCTGCTTGTTTCAGAAAGGGGTGGACTAGTGCAGTCCTTGGTAGCAGTGGAAGATGGGTCCTTTTGTGTCAAGACACTTGCACTCCTGGCTGGTTCACAGCACTCTGCCTAAAATGAATGCATCTGTTCAAGGCTATAAGCCCAGCTGTGCAGGGAGGAAGTGATGCTTAATTGATGCTTATAAAACCTTTGTGAATCTGCAGAGCTCATGAAAGAGTGTAACTGGGAAGATGGAAACTTTCTATGATCGCAGAATGAATGGTTTTCATCTTATAGCTTTAGAAGGGATAACTCAGGTACAAGAAGGCTGAACTCAAGATGTTGAAAAACAAGTGGGTCTGATAGCAGTCTAGATACAAACTGGTAAAGAAGTGTTTGCATATACAGTTGGGTTCGGTGGCATTTAGGAGATGGTGACCTTGGAGGTTTGGAAGAGGGACCCTTAAAAATGCCTTGTTTTAAGTCACTGTGTGACACTGAGAGCCTAGGAAACTAGGCTATAGCAACCTGTATTGAAGAGCTGGGAAAGGACTGGATTAGAGGAAGATATTAGGACAGCTTTCAAGGATTTAAACCTGAAGACTTTTGCACAGTAGCAGTGGCATAATTAAAGCACAAAATTGTAGCTAGCTGAAGTTATTGGAGAGTAGACTTGAAAAACAGTGGATGTGGATTGACAGCACCTTCACATTTTCATGGTGAAATATAACATACTAAAAAGAGAGAATTCCTTTGAGAGAGGCAGAGCTGGTGATTTTAAATTCTGAGTTTCCATTGTTGTAATGATGAGTAGTGATGATCAAAACAAATTGGGCAGAATGAAAAGAGAAAGCATATGGTGCTGTGGAAGTGGCCACAGAACAGAGAATAGAGTGGAGAAATAAGTGCAATTTGCACTCCTGTCTCGCAAAAATGATAGTAGGAAAGTGCCTCCAAATAAAGTAGCCTGAGTAGTAAAATATATTGTCTGTACTTTATAATATGTTCTTGTGCTTAGGATGGGTTGTTTTTCACTGTGAAAGACTAGAACTTAAGGGAGGGGAAGAATAAAAAACACTTTCCAAAGGGCAGTATTAGAAATTCAGGGATGTAAATAAGGTCTCTCCAGTATATTTTTGATTGCAGTGTTAGGCATACCTCTCTTTTTGTGCTTCAAGATGCATTTCATGCAAAAGAAGTTCCTTATCAAGGCAACAGTCTGCATTTCTAAGGACAGTGCTTCTGTTTTTGTTAAAAGAATGACAGTAATTAGAAAATGTCCTAGTAAATGCAGTTCCCTTTAAATATTGCATCAGTCTTGGCAAATAGATTTGTAAGGAAGAGATAAACTAAACCATGCTCCTGACAAGGCATTTTTGCTTAAAAAGTGACTTGGGATCCTTCTGTAAGAAAGGCACATTGTAAAAGCTACTTCATGTTCTCTGCACAGTATTGTATCCAAAAGATAAGGAATATTTTCAGATAAATTTGTTTCATTTTGCCTCTTCCAAGGAGTTTACATTGCTCTCCTAGAACCACTGAAAATATTCCCATTTCACATATTACTGAAGTCTTTAAGTAACAAATGGACTGAGCAGCTTTAAGCTACTGGATCTCATACAGGGTTGCCCTACTTGGTCAGGATTTGGGGGCCGTTCCGTGAGCACAGGGCAGCAGCAGGAGCGAGGCGCACAGGGATCTCCAGTGCTGTGTGTGGTGGCACTGCCACTATCCTGCAGGGCTGAGGAATGGAGAGTGACACTGAGCAGACGTGTCTGAGGAGGCTCCTGGCCTGCACGAGGCAGGGCCAGGGCACAGAGCCGCAGTGGCTGTGAGGGAACAGTGTCAGGACTGTGGTGTTTCACCTTGGGAGCCTTAATCTCATTTCAGTGTCTCTAACACAGTGATTGCCACACACATGAAATGGGTCTGACTCAGGGTCTGAACAGTGGGCTGGTGGAACTGATCATTCAGAGCTTCAGTGCTGAGATTCCATTGAAGCTCTGGAAGTACAGATACAAGGCTGTGCATGCTTTAAAGCAGGTGGTTTCTGAGGTAGGTAATGCTGAACAAAAGTCCTGACTTTTTTTAACTGTCTTTCAGTTAATGTTCAGTGAATAGAGGGGAAAATATCTGTTTAAATCTGTCAGCATAACTCTGCATATTTATTAATACTTCTTCTCTTTTTCTTGAAATTTAACTTAAATTTTAGAGTGTTCTGCCCAAAACATGACCCAGGGAATAGGACCAATCACTATGGTGAGTTTCTTTAATGACATTGATTTAATTTGTTTTAAAAGTTTGCATCCTACAGTCAGTAGGTCATATGAACAAGATATTACCACCTTCGTATTGGGTGGTGGACTTCTAATCTTGCAGGAGTGGTTTGGTTGAGATCTGCATGTATGCACAAAAGAAATCAAGAAGGTTTTTTTGAAGTGGGAGAAGTCAAAATTAAGTCGTCCCTGAATTTCACTGAAAACTGACTTAAACCACAATGTACACAATCCTTTATGGAATCATTCTTACTCTGGGCAAGTAGGTCCAAGCAGCTTGTGAAATCCATGTGAGACAGGAGAGCTGCACACAAGGTTGCACTAGATTAGCAAGGAGAGGACTGTTACAGAGAGGTCACCTTGGGATTTTATCTGTGACTATGCAGACTTTCACATTTGCATCTTCTGTATTCACTGCAGCAGTTTTCAAAATAGGGCCTTTCATTCTGAAGGATCCCAAAGAGCTTTTTAAGTGTAACAAAAGAGTTGTACAGCCCCTGTTTAAGGATTACTTCCTGTGCTACAGAAATGCAGCTTTATTTGGCAGTCCTGACCCTTCCTGATTCAGAGGTATTTGGGAATCTAAACCCCACAGTTGGATCTTGTTAGCCTAATGCATACAACTCTGCTTACAGTGAAGTGGGTTCTAGACTGGCCTTCACTTTGAATTTTAACTCATTTGTGCTGTGAGCACTTGTGCTGACAGTGGTGTGTTCCCATGGAAGTCTAGCAAATTTTGGCTATCTTCTTGACAGAGTCTTGCTGCACTCTGATGACACTTAAGGAATGGGTTAGGTGATTATTATTTAAGCTTTTAGTCATGAGGGCTTCTTAGCCAGACATAGAGTCTGTTTAATATCTGATATTTCTGTGGTTCACTAACCAAATGCATCTTCTTAGTTTACTTAGTAGCTGTGCTTTCTACTTATCCATAGTTCTGAATCTTGACCTTTCTTCACTTTTCAAAATTACTTTGTTTTCTGTGGTCTAATGGTTGTCAGAGTCTGTTGGGGCTGCCCAGATTCCCAGGTGGTCTCCTGTGCAAGTACTGGACCGGCCCAGGATTGCTTTGTTTCCAGTACCTCATAATATTCAGGCATTAGACCCAGCCATCTAGACCACCTTGTTCATAAGGAGGACTTAAGTCTTAAAAGGTTGAATCACAAAATGCTTTGGGTTGGAAGGAACTTTGAAGATTATCTAGTTCCAGCCTCCTTGTCTTGGGCAGGCACACCTTCCACTAGACCAGGTTCTCAAAGCCCCATCCAAACTGGCCTTAAACATTTCTAGAGACAGGGCATTCATAACTTCTCTGGACAAACAGTTCTAGAGTATCACCACCCTCACACTAAGGAATTTCTCTCTGTCTAACCTAAGCCTGCTCTCTTTCAGTCTGAAGCAATCTCCCTTTGTCCTGTCACTAAATGCTGTGGTACAAAGTAATTTTCTGACTTTCTTGTAGCCCCTTTTAGATACTGGATGGTTTTTGTCTTCAAATGCTGCATATACAATGTTCCCTGAAAAGAGAGTTTTCTCCTAGAGGAGTTCTTCCAGAGGCACTTAATTTAGAGACCTTCTGTTTATGAGGGGTAAATGGATTCTGCTGGCAGTGTCTGGCCTGCCTCCTGAACGAGCTTCTTTCACCTCCTGAGAGTAGCTGTACCCTGGGAAGTGGGAAGCAAGTGGGAGAGTTGAGTAGAACACACTTGATTCCCCAAGCCCCGTGTCTCTTGCTTCATAGTTTGGAGAAAGTGGAGTCAAGGAAGATTGCCTTATTCTTGGTTCATACAATATTCTTGTGCTGAAATGTCAGGGCTCTGCTGTGTGACTGGGAGGGGATAAGGTGCCTTATGGGCCAAGAACTCCCCTTGCAGCTCTGTGCAGCAGGGATGTGAGAGCAGCTTGGAAACAGACTCCAACCTGTTTAACTGGAAGAGTTGAATGTGGACAGAGTAAAGACTGACAAATGCAGGAGAGCAGCTAGCACTGTGCAGGGCAGGAAGAGTTGGGCTGCTCTTCAGACTCTGCTCCTCTTGTATAAGGCATCCTTATAGCAGATACCAGGGAGAGCTCAGAAAATCCCATCGTGTCAAAAATACCCTGCTGGACAGCAAGAAATACTTTGTACCTACAGCAGTATCTCCCACACTGCCCCAAATTAGGCCTTACAGGTTTGTTTTGGATGAAGTGAGAGACCTGTTTCCTTTCAGGCCATGAAAAATGCAAATGTACAGCACCAGTGCCCAAACTTGATTCCACAGCCTCTGTGTACAGCAGTGGCTCCTCATTCCTCTTGATAGGATGATTTCTAACAGGAAAGACTTTATTAAATGCTGCCCAGAGGTTCTGGAATTAAACAGGGAAGGGGAAGTGTAATCCCACTGTACTTTAAACATTCAGGTTTTGGTGGGTGGTTGCACTCTTCTCTGCCTTTCTCTGCTCCTGCCATGTCTTCCTTGCCAGAGCTATCCTTTGCTTGTGATACTGTAGCTGTTTCCAAAAGCTGCCAGTTACGATGTTGGCAAGAGTCTCTGGTGCATCCTGATGAAAAACAATGTAGTGAAAGCAGAGATAATTTTTCAGAGATGTCATCTCACATTGCTACAAACACTTTATAGCATAAATAATGTTAAACTGACAAGTCAAATGGCTTCTGGAGGTTTTCTGGGAGGGTTCTTATGTTGATGTAAAACCTAATGCTATTTGTATGTCTTTGAGACACCTAATAATTCTTTAAGTAATCTTAGTTTTGAGGGTGTATTAACATGCGAAAAAAATTGTTTGGAAAAGAAACCAAAGTTTTTTACTGCCTAGAGGTAGTGCTGCTGCTGGGAGGAATAAGTTCACTCTGTCACAATTAAAAATCTACTGAGTTGAAAAGGTTAAGTGATATCCTAATGCTGTAATGATTTGCACTTTTTCCTAATGGTTGATTCATGCTTGCAATTTTCTTAAATGGAACAGATTCACACCTGAAATGTCAGGTGTTTAGGGAAGCTGAAACATACTTTTGCCTTGCCACCCAAAGCTCCTCAGTTCTGTAGCTTTTTGGGAAAAGAAGAAATTTGAATGATGTATGATGGTCAGTCTGAGGTTCTCACTTTTGTTACTTTGTTGTTTGTTGATTCCTAGATGCAGCAAATAAGAAAAGAAGACGTACATTGACATCTCCCACCATCACAGAAGAAATGGTAATTCTGAATTTCAGTAGTACTAAAACAGGGGACCAGGGGACCTGCTACAGCAAAGGATTTACTTACCAAAGGATTCTGACAATGTTCAGAAAGAGCCTTGGGAGCTCCCATGAGGCATTTGTTAATTTCTCTATTTGCAAATGTAATGGTTAAGAAAGGTGGTGTCCCAGGTGTTTGGCTTTTCTTAAAGCCTTTTTGCTTTGAAGCGGTTTTTGCTTCCATTTTCAAAATAGAATGTCTGGAGAGGAATATTATTAGCCATGCGGAAAAGCTGACTGTATTCTCAGAAATGTGGACTGCTTTTTATCCTTCTGCTAAGAGAGAAATATGATGAGAACAGCAGTAAATGTCAGCATAATGTAAAAATACATTGTTTTGATTTTCTTACAGAGTACAGAAGAGACAGCAGAAGAAAACCATTTACGAATACTAAAACGAAAGAACAACAGGCATAAAGGTGAGACTCACTGTGATACAGAAAGGTTGATTCAGTTTTTACTGTGCCTGTGAAACTTTTAGCAGAGGAACAAGGCATGCAAACACTGCTCCTCCAGCAAGGATAGTGGGAAGATAAGAAGATAAGAATGCAGTGATAGATGGGACAAAGGACTGAGTCTTTGTGAGCCTGGGGTGGGATTTATGATAATGGATAAATTGTAATATGTATGTAGGAAGTGTATATAAGCAACACACTTAACGTAGAATCGAGGTGTCAGTGTAAGGTTAGGAGTACCCCTGCAGGACCTTGGGCCTGAAGAAAGGATTCCCACTTTAACACAACTTCAGTGTTGAGGAGCCTTTTTCTGATATACAAGACATTTGGTAACAACTTTATGGAGCAACTAGGAAGTACTGGGATCCGTTATGTTGAAGTGCAGAGCTTGGAGATGGCTGGTAGCAAATGCTGTGCTGCAAATGTATCTTTATGATTCTTCTGAGATGAGTGGCTCTCTGTGCTCTGGCATGGCAGCAGAAGTTTGATATGTTTTAATAACTGCAGCAAACAAATACCTGTGGTTTGGCTGAGTGAGACTTGCTTTGTGATGTGAGCTGGTGAATCAGATGGGAATGACCCCACTTCGGCTGGCTGCTGCATTCAGCTCCATCTCCTGCAGACTCTGCCTGACGCCCCTCCTCCATATCGGTACAGTTAAATGGGAGCCCTGGAAGGTGTTAACAGAGGAGGTGCTCTGAGGAGGGGGCAGCACATCTTACCTTTGGAAGCTTGGGTGTACACAGGGTGCTTAGCACAATGAAGTGTTTTACTGCATACATGTGGTGTTACAACAGCGAGATGGACCACGGGATTCAGTGCTGCAGTTTTCATGTTACCCTGAAGCTCCAGCTGCAGTTGCTTGTTGGGATTCTGTTGGCACTTGGAAGTCTGGAATGTGCTAGTGGTGATTATTCACCTCACTATGGATATGTTTAATGTATGGGTATGGTATTGCAAGTGGCTGCCTAGTGTTTTTTCTGAATTTCACTACCACTGTAAAGAACAGGAGACATACGAAAAATCCTGAAATACTCATAGAGCATCTCATGTAAATGAGATGGCATTTCTTTCCTCACAAATGTTTCCAGTAAAATGTAACCTTGTTTTTAATGGACTTTTGTTTTTTTGTAATTGACTTAATGTTTTTAAGGGCAGACTTTTGTGAGCCCTCCAATATCTGTTTGCTTTTGAACAGCCCATTGCACTGATCTTACTAAAACATGTCACTGACCTGCTGCTCTGAGATAAATAAAAAATGGTTATTTCTCTATCAATGCAAATCTGACAAAGTAGGTATGTAAAATGGGCTGTAATAAAAAAAAAGTTTAGTTGCCTGGATCACTTGGAGTGAAAGTAGCCTCAATTTTTACCAAATCTAATACTGATTCATTTCTTGCACTGTTTTCTGTGCTTTAGTCTGCTCAGTCTGTGGTGTGGTCCTCAGGATTGGTGGAAATGCAAGCAAGACAAATCACTAGGGGGTATCATGAGCTTTAGGAATGGCACATTTAGAGTTGTGGAGCTGTTTGCTTGTGATGAATGAAGCCAGATCTAGAGCTTAGGGAATTTCACACCCAGCACAGTACTTATGTTTGCCTGGCTGCGTTTTTGTTCCCACTGAAAAGGGCTGTGTGGGTGGCTGGAGGAGCCAGAGATCTGCAAAAGTATTTGTTACTGGTGGACGGGCTTTGGCCAGAGTTTCAGCTTCTGAAGAGAGGGAGCAAAGCCCACTTTACAGATCACTTCTGTATGAGAATGCTTTTGTGTTTTAACAGTTCGAATAGACTTCGTTAGGAAGTGCAAACAAGCTGGGCTTCTGGATGACATATTTGAAGAAATGCTGGACACACTTCACCTGGCTCAGGAAAAACTGATGGATGACAACACTTCAGAAACAGGTATGTTTCAGGGGGACCCATGGCAGGGACTCAGCTCTCAGAGCAGAGGTGCAGATTTGAATCCCAGGCACTTGGCTCTGGGTCACCTTCCTGAGGATACCATGGTGCTAAATAACTCAGTTATTTTTGCAGCTGTGCAGGATGTTGAGAATGACCTTCCCTTTTGAGTGAGCACTTACAATGAAAGTTCCGAGGAATTTCTTTCTCAAAATTATGTAAGAGCTGCCAACTCAGTATCTCTAGTGAGACCTTCTGACTTGAATTTTTGAAGCCACCTTTTACAAGTTGGAATAAGCATAGAAAGGTTCAATCCAGCCTCTTCTCCCAGGAACAGAGAGGTCCTGAAGAGAACCAGGTTTTATTTAAGTCCTAAGTCTGTGTTGCTCTTGCAGCTTCACAGAGGGGACCAGCTGTCTGTTAATATCAGCACTCTCTTCTAAAAATCCCCAAGTATTTACATTTTGAGGCTTTGGATGATTTGTTACTACTGTACTGTCAGCTGTTAAGTGTCTCTTTGGGGTTTTTATGGGTTTATCACCTTTTATGAAATACCGTGTTTTTAAGGAATTCCAGTCTAATGTTGCTTTGTCCACAACATAATTAAAGAAAATTTCAAGCCTTCGTCTCCTATCGTCCTCCAGTTTTGCCAAGTTAGGAGTAATACCTTTGCATAAAGAATGCTATTTTATGTAAATGTCCCGCCTGGTAAGTCTTGCTTCACGATCAGCTTGTGTGATGGTCAATGGTCAATTGAACTCCGTGTTCTGCATTTTGCTTCAGCAGAAGCCTCAGGTATGAAACTGAGGTGTAATTCTTGGATGTTTCTTAACAGCAAACAGGGATATCTCAGTGCCACACGTGATCTGTCAGGAGGAGTTGGTGCATCTCAGTGCCACACGTGATCTGTCAGGAGGAGTTGGTGCAGTCAGCAATGCCATCACACAGTCCTGGCACACTGAAGTGAAATATGACTTAAGTACATTTCTCTTTAAATGCACTGTTCATGTGGTGTAGACCCAAAAAGGAAGTAATTTTCTGTATGAAACTAAAAAGAATTGACAATTTGATCCTTCTTTCTCAATATAGATTATATGAGAAGGAAGACATCTTAAAACCTCAAGTAGTCAGTATGATGGAAAAGAAGTAATTACTGTTTTGTGGTACTTCTAATGTAGGGGTCTGTAAACCTTTACTCAGTAGTATTACATCAAGTTATCTCTTTCCCCAGAGTATGAAGAGACAGTGATGGCACTGTTTGACTGTGGACTGTTTGAAAATATACTGACAAATATTCATTCAGGTACGTGCAGAAGAGCTGTCAGAGCAGCAATTGGTCTGGGGTTTGGCACTGAAGTTATTCTAATGAGAATTTTGATAGAAGAGTCATTTAAAATGAAAATTCCAAGGAACTTTTTTTTCTTAGTGTTATATAAACAGTCAAATAAAAGCCATGTCTAGCTGAATCTTTAGAAATAAAGTATATCAGATTTGGCTGGCTGACCTGAAGGAGGGAGCGACTCACAGTTCCACAGCTTTAAACGGCCAAAGGGTCTCCACCCCAGGGGAACTCCCTTCTCCTGCAGCTTCTTTGGGTTCCTTGTCCACCACCTCCCTTCAGCAGCTTACCAGTGTTGCAGCTCTGCTGCTGGCTGACAAGTGCTGGTCAGAGTAATGCTTTCTACTGAAACACAGCAACTAAAGGCCAGTAGAACTCACCTGGACTGGGGGGGCAATTGTGCCTTGAAAAACCAGACAAGGATGCTCAGAGTGATATGAAAACAAAGGCAGGAACAGCTGCTTGGGAGCACCGGTGTGGAAGGAAACTGTTTGAAGCAACAAGGCTGAAGCTGTTTTCAGACAGGCAAGCCTCATGCTTCCCATTTCCCTCTCCAACAGTTGTTCTAACTTTTGCTTTAATTTAGTCTGGTGAAAAGGGTTTTAATTAGCTAATGTTGATATCTGCTGTTTCCCCTTCACTTGACTGCAAAAGCCAGGCTCCTTTCTTCAGTCTCCTGTTCTTGCATTTAAATTTCTTTTTCAGCAGCTGGAGTGTCCAGTGTTGCAGTTATCTGACACAAGGTTCCACCAGTGCCTGAGCTGAGGACATTAAAACATCTCTGCTCAGAATTCCTCATGTGACACAACCTTGGATAACACTTGTTTCTTTCACTGCTGCATCAATTATTTCATCCTCTTCTCAGCTTACAGGAAAATCTCTTGATATTGGCACCTCTCTGAACACACCATGTGATTCTCATGGGTACTAGTTGTCCCCTCTCCAAATCCCCACAACTCTAGCAGCTCAATTCTTCCTGTACCACACAATCTTCTTTTCTGAGACCTTTTTAATTTCAACATCAATAATGAGGTTGGTTCCAAAACTGAGCCAAGAGGAGCTCTTAAAATGAAGCAGTGAGAAAGGAATGAAAACCCTCTTAATTACAGGTTAAACAGTAGAGAAGGAAGAAAATCACCAGCTGCTTTTTTTTTTTTTTTCCCCCCTCTTCTTTTTCATTATTGTTACTGTTGTCATAATCCCTTACAAGCTCTAGCTAGCACATCTCTGTGGTGACATACTAAGTCAAGGGACTACATAAAATAGGACTGGTATAAATACTATGTCTCAAGCTGATGGTTTTGGGTCATTTGCCATGCTTTTAACTTCAGTCCTTTTAAATCATGATACAAAACCTGTTCTAAAGCCTTACATGCCAGCACAACATTCCAAACTGGAACTGTTGAAAGGGCTTTTTAAAATCCCTTTTTTATACAGGGATCCACACTCCTTTTGCAGTGTGCAGCTTTTACTGCAAACTTGACTGCACGTAAAACCTTCCACACAGGACATGTTGTTGCCTCAGCAGCAGTTTCAGATTGATAGGTTGGAGGTTTCTTTTCCTGTCCTCCAAGGAGAACCAACTTTTAGTTTTGCTTTCAAATTCTGTTGTGTGTCCTGCTTGGGCAGGATGCCTCCATCAGCTTACCTCTCCTGTGTGCTGGTCAGCAGTCTGGCCAGGAGCTTTTCAGCTCCTTGACAGCATTTGTTTTCAGGGGGTTTGTAGCAGCAAATTCTGCAATTCAGTTAAAGGTGTTGGAGACAAAGGCCATGATAATTTTTAAAACTGTCGTGCAGTTCCTTCAGCGAGAATTCGTTAGCACTTTGGGGCAGTCATTCCAGGTCCATGTCCCTCAGGCCATTCCTGATTTTACAGAAATACATTTTCTTTCCCTTCAGGCCATTTCCTCTATGAAGTGGAAGGCTTCCAATCAGTTACCTGCCTTCCTGTGGAAGCACTTCTGTAGGCCAGCCATTCCCATCACTGGCATCTTTGGGCTAGTTCTATTTTTGCCACATCCTTTTGGCAGCAAACTGAGCTGTGTGTTCAAGCTGTGTCTGTTCCATCTGTAGCTCTCCCAAATGCTGAATCAACAGGCTCACAGTGTTCCAAGTTGGAAGGGACCTGCAAGGATCACTGAGTCCAGCTCTTAAGAGGCCTGTATGGGGATTGAACCCATAATCATGGCATTATTTAGCACTATGCTCTGACCAACCGAGCTGCTTTCTTTATTTCTGATGACTAATTCATATCCAGATTCTCTCTAAGAGTTTTTTTTCCCTGGTTCCACTTGTACATGTCCAACTTCTTTGAGTAAGTGTCAACTGATTGCAGAGGGACAGGACATCGCATTTTCAGTCAGAGCTAGGCTGGGGCACCAGCTCCCTCTTCAATGAATGCTACCAGAATTTCCCATGGGCAGCAGGCACCAACATTGCTCTGGCTGCCTGTTTTCAACACCTACACGCAGCTTTGGGTAATGTATTTAAAAACATGTCCATGTCCATCACCTTCCACATCCACCCACAGACAGCAGGTGCTGTGCTGTCTGTGCTTTCTGACTACAGAGGAAGAAGCAAGCAGCAGGGAAGCAAAAGGCCAAAGTACTTTGCTTTTTTATATTGTTGTTTGTTTTGTAGTTTTTGGGGTTTTTTTCTACAAAGCTCTCTTATTCTAAATGGCATAGGGTAAACATCTGGAGAGAATTTCTCCACTCTACTCACTGAAACTTTAGAGACATCCTTCAACATCTGCTCCCCTAGAACAGGAAAAATATATTCAGTTTGTACAAAATGCCACCTTCTTACTAGAATCTGGACTCTCAACATTGTCACACACTGAGAAAGTCATTTGTTGTTCACAGACCAACCTGGCTGCACAGAGGTCACCAACACCTCTGTGTGTCCTGTTAACTGAATGAAGCAGGTGCTTCATTTAAAACTTGCAATTAAATAACTGTAAGGTTGTGGTAATGCTTCTGAATACTGGCATGGTTCCTTTCTGAGCTCTCACTGACTTAATAATCTTTAACATTAGGGAAATGGAAGCAGCAGAGGGAAGCAGAAATGCAGTCAAGCAGGGCTTTGCAAATAAGGTAAACAACTTGGTTAATCCCATCAGGATACTGTCAATAATGATTTTGCCAGAAGAAGGAGAATAGGTGCTGTTGAATTGTGTTTTTGAGAATCGAGTTGTTCAATGCAGTTGTCTAAACCATCTCTTTTTAGGTTTAATTTTGTTGTTAGCTAAAGTCCATTAGGCTTGTAAATTTGCTTTAGAGAGTCATTTAGAGATGTTAGCTTTAAAGATTTAAAAGACATCATTGTTGGGGGAGCTCTCACACAAATGGGCTCTGAAAACAGAATTGTTAAAAGCTCATATGCCAGTTAACACAGGGGGTTAGTAGCTAAACTAGTAACTTTTATATATGCTGAGATGTTTTAAATTTCATCTCAAAATTAGCTGTTATAGATTTCAGCATATGGATAGCAGAGTATGCAACTCCTGCTCTGTGCTTTCTCTGACACACCAGCCAGGCTCTCAGCAGACAGGGTTCAATTCTTTGTGAAGAGACCAGGTGTGCAGGGTCACAGACATTGCTGTAGAAAGGAAAAGCTTTTAGTGTAGGTTAAACCAAGCACCAGGAGCTCTGCAGAGTTAATTAATACGTAACATGTTTTATATTAGTAATACTTATGTATAATAATAAAATCTTCTTATCCCTTAATAAGAAAAGCTTTTTACCCCTTTTTTCTAATAGGAACAGAAGAAAAAATCCAGAAACTTCTGGAAAACAGAAAAAGACTGGATCACAAGATTGAGCTACTGCAGGATGTAAAAGAAGTCATCCTTCCTCCTCCAGAGAACATGGCCAGTACATCAAGTACGATGTCTGAATAACCCCTGTCTGTGATGGTGCAAGAGTTAAGATTTTCTAATGATAAAAACCATAGAGCAGTCAGGTCAGTGCCCAATTCCCCAGCTGCAAGCAGGGGCTGAATGGGTGCAAGAATGAAGTGTTATTTTTATACCTCACTGTTGTAATAATTTAAAGTTCTTCAAGTGTTCAAATCTTCATCTTCAAATTTTTCCCTGATTTCACTATAAATTTTCATTTGTATTCCACAATGGAATATAAATGAATGTTTTAAAGTAAATTTAGCTTTTACAAAAACTCAAGAAAACTCTCCACTGAAGACCTTTTTCTCAAAGCTAAGGCAGTGTTCAGCTGTCACAGAACACTTGCTAAAGTCACTTTAACTGTGGGAGCCGTTTCTTGGCTGGGCTCCTAGACCATGGTGCTGCTTTGGCTTTCCCAAAAAATATAAATGAGCAGAACTTGCACTCAAGGAAGCTTTCTGGATTATAAACAGGAGTTTCATTTTAAAAGCCCAGTTTTTCTTTATTGACTGGTCAAGGTGTAGCTGTTTCTGCTGTAATGGCAGTGGTAAAGCAATGTTTGCAGGCAGACCAGAGAGGGTAGGGCATTAGACTCAGAAAACATACAATGGAAAATTGAGAAAAACAGTGACTAGATCTTCCTTTCACTATTAAGAGAGGGTTCAACTTTCATATATTGTTTGAATACAGCAAAGCATTGTTTAGCCACAACAGACTAAGTATATAAAATAAAACATTTTTTAAAGGAGCTGTGTGTGGAGTTGTGCTCCCTGTCCCTGGTGCTGCACAGGATTTGGCCAAGAAGGGGGAGTCCTGTCAGACTATTCTTTACCCAGCCTTTGGCTGAGGAATGAGCAGAGCACTGGAAAACACCACTTGGCCTGACACCAGTGAGATCCTGTTACAACAGCTGTACTCGGAATTCCTCACTTGAGCTTGTTCTATAGGAAGATGGGGATTGATAAGCACAGAATAATAGCATTCAAAAATGAGCTCTTGAACTACAAGATGTGCGTGATTCAATAAAATAATAGTAATTTTAATTACTTACACAGTTCAAGTCTCCTGCCCTTCTGGGCCTAAAACTATCACCAGTTTACTGCCCAAGCTCAGGACTTGAGTGCCACTCAGCCTAAAAAAACACCCACCTAAACCAAAAATGCATTAACAAGGAGCTCTGTTATTAAACACAAGAAGAATGTTAAAGATGTCCATACATACCTTTGGAAGGGTTACAGCCACTTAAGGATGACTTAGTATAAAAAAAATCAGATTAATAGAGTGAATCATTGAGGTCTAAAATCAGTGCCTACAAAGAAATTTGCTCATTTCTGAAATCAAGATCACAGGTATTTTGTCAGGCACAGTGAAATCAGCAAGATTCATTGTATGGGGTGAGTTGGGTTTTGGCTTTAATTGGTGTCTGTTTGGGTTTTCCTTTGTTGTTTTGATGAGGTTTTTTAAATGAAGCAACTTAGATGCTGTATGTAACACAAAAAGCTTGCAAATGTTCTACAAAATCCAAAGTTTTCTAGCGGAGAGGTACAAAAAAGTATTTTATTACATGTAGTTTAAATTTAGACAATAATTAAAAGCAAAACCCCACCCTGCTTTCCCTTCCCCCTCCAAGGGAACCAACATCATCTGAAGTCACTGAAGAGTGGAATTATTTCCATTAAGCATTATAAATATTGCTTGAAGATTACACAAAGTACACATTACAACTTATATTAAAATATACCCAAATATAGAGATTTACTTCAAATTAGTTTTCCTAGTAGCTCCTTTCTTCAAAGTCACTTGCTTAGGCCTTGAGGATACATAATTTTTGCACACTTAAAGCACTGGATACACTTGGTTAATTACACACAGCAAATGGCCAATTCATTCACAATCATGCAAATGCAGGAAGAGATAACCATGCCATTTGCTTCTCTATAATCCCAGAGAGTTAATGATTTAAGTGACATCATTCAGTGGCTCAGATCAGACTATTTTCCAACCCCAAACAGTAAACTGGAAATACGAGCAGGCGGTGCTACAACAGATTTCCTAGGCTGGAAAGGCAAGTCCGGAACACCAGCCAGAAGCCTTTGCACACTGCAGCATTTTGTCTCTGCCTGAAACCTCGAGCTGGTTCCACCATCTGGGTTTGTTAAACACAAGTGAGTATTTTGCTTGACATTTTTACAACAGTTCACTCTTAAGCACTGAAAACGTTTGTTTTCGGTCCTGTGGTGGAAGAGACCGCATAACACTTGCCTGGACCCACACAGTTACATTGTAGCTGGAAAAAGAACCCTCCAAACACCTTGACTTACAGCCTCATTTTTTCAGTTCTTAAAGGCTCCACATTTACTGGCTTTAGCAATGAATTCCTTTAGCAGGGGACCATCCATTTGCCAAAATGCTGTAGTTTGTGTCACTTCCGTCAAATGATTGACACAAAACTTAAAGCAGAATTCCTCTAAGTCCTAAAGAGGAAGAAAAAAAAAAAAAGAAAAATTTTATCATCTTTGCTTTCAATCACAGAAAATGTCATTGAGGCTGAAATGCCTGTTTATGTTTTATTTTTGCAGCAAATTAGACAAACACACCCAGTGGCTCTCAGTGTTTCCCCCTCAACAGTCACTATGTAAATGCAACAGAAAATAATTATTTACCCCTGTATGTCACTATGTAAATGCAGTTACAGGGGGAAGTAACCAAAATTTGTTTCTCACTATATAGCAGCAGTCACAAAAAACAGCTGTTCTGAGCAATATATATTTTAAGTTCTCACATTTGAAGAGTTTCATCTGCATTCTCTAACAACTTTGAAACTCCACTATAAATAGGAGATCTTGGGGTAATGATGTATAAGCAAGACACTGGAAAAAGAAAATTCAGCTCTTTCGTTTCACAATATAAACAAATCTATTTGTAAGGTTGCTTGACTTCCTTCCTGCTTGTTGAAGGGCTTAGCTAGAGCCTTGAAGTTCCACGTCCCTGGCTCTACACATGTATCCTTACTGGATAGCTCGTACAGCAAAGATTAGGCAGAAGGTCTTTCTGTGCATTAGAAACAGACTCGTGCTACAAAGTACTTCACAGGTCTCCCAAATGTGATTCAAATGCAGTACTGGAGCACAGTGCAACACAGCAATTTTTGCAGAAATATTTGGCTCCAGATATTTGAGCTTACTTGGAAGTGCCTTCCATGTAATAATCACAGAAGCCTCACAACCATCATTGCACCCAGGTGATGTCAGACAGAGAGGATGCCTTAAAGAGCACAAGGCACAGTCCTGGTCAGTGCAAGGTTCCCCACAGAACACTTCCCACTCAGATTATTTCCATGTCCTCCTTTGAGGACGAAATCTACTCTGTGGTGCAGATCTAAGCTGCTTTAAGGAGTATGCCGCAGTCCTGACAAAAGGGCAACTCCCCACACTATTCTCATTTTTTTATTAGATGCTTGTAGGACTCTACATGAAAACATATCCTTCCTTGGCTGCTCAGCAGACTGGGCCCTGCAGGCAGGCATAACAAATTTGCAGAGTCTCTAAGCCCCATGAGGTACGAAAGACTGAATAATATTCATGTTTTCTCTTAAGGTCAATACTGAAACTAGAGCAACTGTATGTGCCAGTGACAGTTCTTGACACAACAACAATATAAAAATATATCCTGGCCTAAAACCAGGCATTCTGAAGCTGCAGATCTTGACTTGTGTGGCATCTGTGCAATAAAAAAAGACAAGCTTATTAGAACTGAACACTGACAGTTGTTTGTTTGTTTTTTTTAAATAACAGAATTAACTAGCTTTTTAAAGAAAATTACATCATACACATTACAATATTTTGCACTGCTTTATTAAAAAATTCATATTCCAAGTCAATGCAACAGAAGCATACAATAAACACAATTCTTGTAGTATTAGTAAGTAACTCTGGAAAACCTAAAGTTCTGTATATAAACAAAGGCTGAGTTTCATTTGCAGATGGATGAACTCCCAGCAAACTACTCAATATAGACTTAGGTGAATAAAGGCACAAGGTACAGCCAAGGATTATTTTAAAAGCTACAATGAGAAGCCAGCCCTGACCTAATTTTTGCCACTTCAGTCAGTCAGCAAAAGAAACTGCAGGAGTTTCATGTCATGGAGGTATTTTAAATTAGTGAAGCAGCTTGTTTCAAGTGTTGTCTTCCAGGCACACACCCCCTGAATGAATTACATCAGCCAAGCAATTCCAAGCCCCCTGCCAGCATTGCAGCATGTAAACCCTTAAAGCCCAACCCCTCGGCATCACCTATTCTCTCCTGGAAGCAGCATTGAAGCCTATGGTTCTAACTTCACTTAGCTAGAGAGGTATAGGTGAGGCAGAGTAATGGGATTTCTTACAGTCCTTAAAAGCAGAATCAATCACACACCAAAGACCCATCCTGCAAACTATCTTTGGAGGCTAAAATGTGAGAATCTTCCTATTTTTGATCAACTTCTATCAAAGACATCACTATTCACAGTAGATCAGAAGCCACTACAGACACTAACACAGCCTTTTGGTAAGATCTATCAAACAAGCAACACATTTCAAGGCTCTGAAATAAGTTAGGGCAACCTGCATGCCAGCTGCTGGAAATTAAGGATAAGAAAAAGCAATAAGCTGATTTACTGAGTACCAAAAAACTGCTTTATAAGCATAAGTAGCAAGTTCAAAACCAACCTATTGCAAAGTTGCCAACACAATGCACAGATAGTACTGAACACGAGAAGCCAAAGCAAGCCCAGGAATACTTCCTGATTAGTTCCTAAAGCAGCATGTTAGGGATCTAGTAGTGGAGTCAGACATTCTACAGTGAGGAGGCTTCACTCCCCTTCTCACACACTGTTGCTCTGTCTTCAATGTTTATAAAGCCCATGAAACAGTTCTTATCCTGACACTTCATTAGCATACCCTGAAAACTGGAAGTGTATTTGTACCTAACAAAACAAAAAAGCCAAAAAAATCTCCACCCCACCAACCAAAAAAAAAAAATCACAAATGCACTCAATCCCCAACCTACCACCATGTCATCACACACAAAACACAGTCTTGCAAATAAGCAACTTAAGGCTTAAAAGCCTGCTTTTCATTATGTTACTTCTTTTACTTTCTATTTAAATCCCCCCTTGTTTCAGAGTTAGTATTTCCATCCTCAGAAATATCTGTGTACGAGCTCACTTTCCCAGTACTGGTTAATGGGGAAAATCAAAAATTTAAAAAATGAGATAAAAAAACCTGTATTTGCTATGAGATGCAAGTCCAAAACTCTCAAATTCTGAAAATGGCAAATAGTATTAAATGAAAGTAAGAGAGAGCTTATAGGAAAATGTAACCAGCTGCTTTTCTCCATAGGTTAAATCAGGAAGCAGCCACCCATTTAAGAGATTGAGCTTTAGAAGTTTACCTCTGCATCATATCTGACAGCAGCAGAGAGCAATGAAAATGCATTTTCCACAGTAATTCCTCTCTTGATAATGTGCTGACACAGTTTTTTCAGTCTGTTCTCACAGTATGAAGTAGCCAAATCCAAAAGCCCTGCAATGAAAACACCATCGTATCAGTCAGTTGTAACAGGATCTCTGCTCTTCCAGTATCAGTTTCTGCTCCTGAAAAACTCTGTATCTCTATAATGTGCTTTTTCCAAGTAGGTTACTATGCAGAAAATGCAAATTACAGGCAAAGAAAGGCTTTTTATTACCTCATTCTTTACTCCTGCTAATCTCTGTAAATATGAAAGCTGTCCTACTGACTTGCATACCTAGTGGCAGGCACCACAACACGAGTAAAAAACTGCTATTATCAAGATATGGGCTTGAACTACAGCTTGCTGTAATTGCTCTGCTGTCCAAGTTTCCTCCCCATTAGATCTATTGAGATTCTTTGATAGCATGCCAAACAGTAATAGACTCAATTCAGTAAAATATGCAAGTATTTTCACCCAGAGAAGCAGTTTCTCTCCCAACCTTGACTAAACTGCTCATAGTTTATTTCTAAATACGCACCATTTTTGCTGTAGTTGAGTTTGCTACAACAGCATTTTAAAGACAAGTTAATCGATCACCAGTAAAATGCGTTATAGGCTAGACTAGAAGCCTGTATTTAGTCACTTATTCTGCATGCCCTGCCCCAGTTTTTCTGGATGCTGCTTTCTGACACAACTGGCCCATCAGCAGTACCTATTGCATCTTCAGGCGGGAGGTCAACGCTGTCCGTGTACAAGTACTCGAGAAAGGCACGATACACAGGGTAGGAAAACTGGTCTATTTCTATCACCTCCTTCATATCCTCATTCCAGTATGACTGGAACATGGTTCTGAAATGTTCACACCTAGGAGACAGGGACATCATCTGGAATGCTATTATACACACACAAATGTTACCTTACAGTCCCCCTGAAACACATATTTGGGGCACCCTGCCATGCACACCAATATTTTACCATGCCCCACCAGGGCCAGCAGTCCACGTTTTGGTTCCTAACACTGTAGACTTCATTCTGCATTTAAATAAAACTCTTATTGTGTCCATGCTACAGAAACATCTGTGTATACAATGCAATCAGACCAACTTAACAGGATTTATTAACCCAGGAAAAACAGGCTCAGTGAAAAATGAATGTGGACTACCCCTTTTACAATCACTTCATTTAAAGCTATTATGGATATGTGGATGCTACCTGCTAGAAGTTATGGGGTCCCTCTGTCCCTCTTACTTTTTTTTGCCCCTTTGAAGATACCCCTAAGAGTTTGTTCTCTACAAATAAGAGCTGTGAAACACGACCACTACCTGATTTTTAGAACAGCTTTGTGGACATGGATGTACTTTCCATCCACACGGAACTTCAGGTCTGAGGTTTCTGGGCTGTCAAACTCCTTCTTCAGAGACTCGGCTACTGTTAAAAAATCTTCATGCTCTACAGAAACAATTTCAAAACAAACAGAACAAGATGTTAAAAGCATCTTAAATGGAACACACATCACTAACTAAAGCTAGCAACTCCACTAAGAGTGTATCAAGGAAAACAGATCCGTGTCAGGGATCCATTGGATTAAACAGCAAAATGGGAAGGATTAATTAATCCAATAGCATTTCCTGTTGGGAAGGGCTGCTCCACAACAGCTACAGCAGTGGTCAGCAGCACCCATTCCATCCCACTGCACAGAGGTAGCACAGCACTAAGGGAAGTACCTGGAGAACTGTCTCCATGTGGGCACTACCCATGAGTTTTCCAGCCTCCAGGCAGCTCAGTGCCTGTGCTGGCTCAGTTCAGCTCTGCCCCCTCACCCGCACTGTGCTGCTAATGGGAGTCTGCAACACCCCTGAACTCACTGGGCACGTGGCCTGCAGCACTCCAGCCACACTGACATGGTGTGGGGCTGGGCCTAAAGACAAAACAGGTCACCACATGGTCACCTTTCTGTGTTGGCAGACCGGATACAGCCTGTAGGCTGATGAGGTCTTTGCCAGGGCTCATTAACATGAGCTGTCACTGACACCAGTTACTGAGTTTATGAGTCAGTTATAACACAAAATCCAGCAGCAGTGCTGCTGAAGGTACAACCAAGGACACAGAATCTCAGCAGATTTGGAAGTGGATTAAAGCAGAAATACCACAGTTCTCTTTATGGAGGCCTATGGCACTGGTCCCACAGAGGCCAACTCAGTGTCTCCAGAAATCACAAAGGAATTGCAGCACAAGCTTGTCCAGGGCTTTTGGTAAAGCAAGACCTCTGAAGTTTCAGAAAACCTAATTTAATCAATCATTTTGATGCATCTTAAAAGCGTGCTTCAAAGCACATGGCTTTTAAGAAGTGAAGCATGGAAAAGAAAAATGGATTTCTACAAAATGGGATGCAATCCATCTCCTGTGTCCCACAGGGCTGTACAGTGTTCATCCATATACAATCTGCACACCACTCTTCACCATTAGGGACACTAAATTATTTTGTATTTAAAAAGAAATACTGCTGGAACAAACTACTCAGAACTGGCAAGTCACACCTGTGCCACAGAAGACCTTGCACTCCTCTGACTTATATGAATCACCCACAGAAACTGCATCTCCTCTGGGCTAACAAAACCATCCTCCAATCCCTCTCCATTTGCTCGTGTGACCTTTTTTTTTTTTGCTAGGTCATGAGCTTAGCTTAAGCTATGCTGATCAACTTTCACTCCAAATGCTTACAGTCCTGCAAAAAGGCTGCAGATTTATACTTCACCACAGCCTATCCTGACTGGCTGATTCATTTTTTGGCAGAGACATCATAATTGTAAGTAGAACAATGACCTTTACACAGAGTTAGCTCTCCCTAAGAAAACAAAACACCACAAAAAACCCAAACAAACAAAAAACAAAAAAAAAGAAGGGTTTACTCCTATGTGATTAAAACAGGTGGGGAAAGGAAAACATGCATTTGGAAAATGGAGATTTTAAAATGCCCACAGAATTAATTTTTTTTGATTTAAATATTGAGTAAGATGAGGAAGAATCCCCAAAGGCTAAGAGGAATTAAAGTGCAGGTAATAGAGGTCAGACACCTGGCTATACTCAGTCTGGGGATACCTCATAAAAACCAGGAACCTGAAACTGGGAGAGATTATTTAAACAGCTTTCACTATTAGCAAAAGGCAACAGACTGGACAACCATGAGACCTCCACAAGTGGTTGAGGCAAAAGGGAGCAAGACCAGCACATATTGCAGAGGATTAGAGAATGGAGAAAGTGACAAATGGGATAAAAGCAGACTTAGATTGACTCAGAAGCAGACTGCTCAAAGTTAATCTTCCCTCTCTTTAGTAATTCTACTCAGTTGTCCTCTACAGGTGAGATGTTGTTACCTGGACCTCTACAAATGTGGAAATGTGCTAAACAAGAAGTTAACACCGAGAAGCTGGGTTAGCACAAGCCAAATGCAACTGTAAAGTCTGAGAGACTTAACTGGAGAGAGGTTACTTAGGATGTGGTCCATTGCTCCCAAAAACAATTCCATACAGGGAATAACAAAATTAGGGGCTGTTGTCAATATGAAAATGGATTAGACGTCCTAAGAGATCTTGAGAATTGAGGCAGCAGAGTAAGATGAAACAGCCTTATTTTTTTAACATGAAAACACCTTCATGTTTTCCAGGAAGTGCAAGCTAAGCCCTTTATATCCTATTTGGGGTCAAATAAGAATTAGCAGCATGCGGATCAAAGAAAATCAAGAAAAAAAGGTTTGATCTTATTTGTGGGACACAGAAACGGCATCCCAGAGAGTAATTCAAAGTAGTATAAGAATTCCAACAGAAAAAGCAATTATATAATGAGTCTTGTTTCACAGGGACTATTATTTACAAGCCTGTCCGTCCTTGAGGAAAGTCAAGCTAAATAGACTTGAGACAAATTATCTCATGAAATGAAAACTTGGAACTCTGTTACCTTCAAAACAAGAAAACATAGGGAAGAGATTAGCTCCTAGAAGGGCAAACGCTAATGAGGGGAAAGCTACAGATGACACTTAAAATCAAAGGTTATTAGATACCAAAAAAACAAGCCCTCAGGAGTAGTCTTTCAAGCAGGAATAGTTTTAAAAGTGGAAAAAAACCCCAAAGTTTTGTTAAATGACTGAGGAGTCCTTCCTGGACCTGAGCTGGAGTTCAAACAACATAAATGGAAGAAACATGCAATATTCATCGTGCAATGGTACAACAGGGCTTTCTTTGGATGTACACTGGCAAGCAACCTTGTTAACCCTACCCTGGATCCCCAGCTGCTGAAACAGACTCTTTTCTTTAGAAGTTAAAAACAAGTAGCTGCTGAGTTGCCAAGCTTCCCTCCTTGGAACAGGAGCCTGCCAGGGAAGCAAAATGCTGTACCAGTCACTAATGGACACAGGGACTATGGGAGCTGGAGCTCACCTACGGAGAGCAGGCGCCACATGACAGCAGGGGTGGCGAGGTGGGGGAAGGTCACGGACTGCCCCCGGCACTGGCCCCACATGTACACCTGGCCGCTCTGGGTCTTGGCCGCCGACGTGTGCGCAGAGTGGCACGCGGCGATCTCCACTACCCTGCGGGCACAAGAAACGCAGTAAGGCACTCAGAAGGTACGGAATCCAGGGACTTTCCAAAGGCCTCACCAAAATAACAGCAAATCAAACTATGCAGCAACATCCCTGTACTCAGGTTTTTGTCCTGCAGAAATGTGATACTGCTTGAACAGCTATTAAAAAATCCCACGATATTTTCAGATTGCTTGTAGATTTTATTGTAACCAGATATTGCTTTAACTATGTCATTCTTATCAATTGACTTTTCTCCTATTTTTTCATAATCATGGAAAAAGGGATGAAGAAAAAACAAGTTTGTTTTTCCCCCTTATAACCAACACACATCAGAAACTTATTCTCAAGAAGAAATTTTTCTACCTCCTTTCAATTTGATTTTGTAGGCTGACAGAGATCTGACCCACTCCCTGTACTTCAGACTTCTTATTTTGCTGTTAAGCTTACTTCCCTAAACACTGAAATTCAACATAAACACAGTGCCTCATTTGAGGGGAATGAATCCTTTAAGAGCCATGGTTGTTTTTAAATAAAGTCTACATTGTCCTTTCACCTACCTCACAGTTTTTCAAAATACTGAAGCTGCTGATGCTCACTTATCTATTCTGTTCTCACACTGCTCAGGCAATCCCTAGATTCTTATCTGAAACACTGCAAGAACTAAGAAACACAATTCCAATTAACACACCACAAAGACACTACCAGAGTTTCTGTGATAAGCTAAACAGGGAGGTTCCCATATTCAAAATAAAAGCTGTGCTTTCCTGTTTTTTCTCTGTGGTAAAAACACATCAGAGAATTTCATGCTTTTGTGCCAGAAACACATCAACCAGGACAAACAAATATCTTTCCAAGCAATCTAAGAATACACACACAGAAATATGTGCTCCTTTACAAAACAATACCCATGAAGATTTAGATTCTTAGGAGAAAAAAAAATAAAGTTTTATACAATGTTCATATTTTAAGTGCAAAAATTATTTCAAGATGAAACTCAAAGAACCTACATCACCTTCAGTACATGTATCAATTTCTGGCAGAAAACTGATTGGTTGTTTTACACTACTATCAACTTATGAACCTCTACGCAACATCTTTACAAGACACATCAGAGTATTTATTTTAGGGACAACTTACTTTTTATCACAGCTATCAAGCTAAGCCACTTCCTTCTCCAAACCTCCTTTTCTTAGCAGAACAGAGTCTTATTTTTTTACAGACTATACTACACTTCAGCTGTACCAGCAGAACATGTACTGTAATACACGTATGGTACATGTAAACATACTTACAGTACATGCACAGGGTAACACGTTAAGCATGCATTTAACACCAAAATTCAGGAAGCCGACCTTCACAGCTGTTCCTCCAAGCTAAAATAAAGTCTAAACATTCCTTACAAGCAGTATGTGAAATATTTTTCAGGACAGCACCAAATGAAACCTCCTAAGTAACTGCTGCCAGCATTAAATATAAATGACAAAAGAATTACATAAACTAAAAGATCAGCTGCAGCAGCAATGTGCTTCATGAGAAATGACAGCTCACCCACTTTTAGCACTGTTTCCAAGGGAGCCAAGTCAAGCAAGATGAGTAAGTTCAAGTGACTTATCTCTCCCTTATTAGATACCAAGCAGATGTTCTATGGTATTTTCCCCCTCCTTCATCCATTGAATAATGCCAGGTTTATCATAACCCCATGCTTGAGTTCACATACAGCTCTAAATGCAACAGTTTCTTCACAGACAAACCAGCCCCACTTCACTGGTTTTTATTGTGATAGTTCCTTTCTTCTTTCCCTGCCCCCCATTTTTTAAGCTCTTAAACATTCTCAGTACTATGAAGCTTTTAATTTAATGCTAAGTGGGAGAAACAAGAAAAAATAGGAATGACTTCCCAGATGGAGGAGAAAAATCAAGCAAAAGTGTTTCTTAGTTGAGAGGAAATTGCAGATTAAGACATCTATAGACCATGACAGGGTACATTAATCTGTAGGTATACACAAGGGCCCAGAGAACGGGACTAAGGTCCACATTTGTAGGTGGAACAGCAAAAGAGGAGGATAATGAAAGGGTGATGAAAGAGGATTGACAAGGGTTAATTTCATTCTTTTATGAGTTCAGGAAACTAAAAAAATACAAACTACTAACTGGTATGAGTAATAAAAATGGGTACTAACTGTCCTTAGCTCAAGCAGCCTTGCAAATTGAATTCTGTTTTCATGGTGGGCCACTTTCAACCTTTCAAAAATTGTTTTTCCTCACAATGCCACTTCTTGCAAATGTTTCCTTTCTCCCCACTTTTTCTTTTTTTTTAATGTAGGCATCAATTCACGGCTTGGCTTATTGATTTCATAACTCCAGTTTTAGGCAAAGGAAACATATACAGAATAGCATAACATTCATTCATTCATTATCTTTCAGTACCAGGTAAATGCAAAGTGTGTTCAATAACCATTACAGACAGCAAAAAGCACTCAGTGCTTATTGTAGACAGTAAGCTACTATCCTTTCCCACATTTTTAACATTAGCAACAGAAAAACAATCCACCAAGCCCTACACATGCATGCTTCCAGGGCTACAGACTGCATAAAACATGCTCAGACTTTATCAATCCAGAAACAGCTTCAGCAAGATTACCTTTCTTTCTCCATCATGATCTGCACGGGGCTGAGCTGGTTACTTTTATTGCCAGTCCCCAGCTGCCCATAAGTGTTAGCTCCCCAGGCATAGAGCAAGCCCTCATCTGTTAGTGCTAGAGTGTGCGCATAGCCACAGGCAATCTGTAAGTAAATGTATAAAGTGTTACTCCTGAACCAAACACAGATGAGAAACAAAATATCGCACACATTACCTTCGGCTAGCTGGTCGTAAATATCTCAGGCATTCCTCACTCAGCACCACACTGTGTTACTTCTCAGTACTTGCAGCTAACACAAGGTATGTCAGCTGTAGGTACTGCAAAAGTCCCAGCTTCATTAATTTAAACTGGCTGCTCCCAAGTAATTTACTGCACACTAGACAAGTCTCCCTAGATGCTACACACTTTATTTTCACGTGGGGAGCACTGACCTTCATCACATCTTGTAATACTCTGAAAGTATTTCAGATCTGGATTATTCTGAATACCATACAGTACGAGTACTCTGTAATGAGGAGAGCTGCAGTTCAACAGTTCAACCCAATTTATCACATTCAACTCTACAGAACCTTCCCAAAAACCCAGGAAATCACAGATTTTAGTTTGAGTTTCTACTTAGGAAAAAAACCCACAACCAAACACCAAACAAACCAAACTAAACCAAATCACCAAACAATAAAATCCACCCCATGCGTCTTGTCTTTCCTCTCTCCCCTTGCTTCTAAAGGACTAATTAGAATACTAGAATTAGAATAGTTAGAACAAATGTAAACATCTGGTTCGCCTTCATTTCTTGTCTTTGACTAGCACTGATTATTCAACTTTGTAACAAAAATGCAATTTGTATCCAGAGCATAATATACTAGTAGCTACAGTAGCTAACTTTAAATCTTTCCAAGCATTTACCAAAGCAAGTGTCTCACAGCTTACTTGCAGGTTATAAAAGGAAAACATAATTGATTGTAGCTAAAAAAAAAATTCATCATTGTAACTAGTGAAATCTAGAAGCAGGTATAATATTCCAAAGAGAGGGTTCCAGCAGAAGCTAGCAGCAGGAATGCACTTTCATTTCCACATTGGGCATACCTGGAGCACACAGACGCTGTGCAGCGCTGCCACTCTGCAGGGCGTCAGCTGGTTCCCGTTGTTCCCCAGGCCGAGCTGACCATTGCCATTGTAACCCCAGCCATAAACCTGAGCACACGAGGAAAACAAAATTAAGCCACTCTTCACTAGGAATACGGAGCATTTAAGACCTCATATCAAGCACAAGCCAAGAAAAGTAGTCATTATTAAAAAATTGTGTGCTATTTGAAGAGCAATACAGAGAAGGTTGAAAGATATTAAATAAACTGCAATGGCTTACTGCACTCAAACTTCTCCGCCCTGCATTTACCTTTTAAAGAAGCTAAAAAAACACTTATTTGAAGCGCTAGGAATTTTACAATAAACTTATATTACACCAAATTCTCTCCCATAACATCAACACTGATTTCTATGTCATCCTTTCTCCTTATTACTTTCCCTTTTTTTGTTTAAAGAGAACATTTAATTAGTTATTCTGATGAACTGATCAGTTTAAATGGCAGTCCCCAGTTTATCTCTAATTCCTTCACCATGACATACATAAGTACAACAGAAGTCCATCCCAGCCTCAGGGACTTTACAGTCCTTCCATTCACAAGGAGATACTACCCTCTGTTTGGTGAAATCAAGTAAAATTTGGATTACAGTTCAGACCTAAAAGCAAGACAGCACCATAAACTTACGTCATATGGAACAGTTGCATAATGGGAGGCCAATATTCAAAAGAATGTTTTGGATTTGTTGCTGGTAATTAAGCAATGTGTTTAAGAAGCAGGATCAGCCAATGTATCCTTGCAGAAAAATGAACTGTTTAATTGTGTATGCTTTAAAGAAACAAATTGAGACTAATTTAATGAATTAAAATAATTTAACATACTTTATGTTAGATAATCTATTTCAACATGAAGACAGACATGATTAATACAATTGTTCAAATTCTTGCAGTTGCGTACTCAGTAAGAATTGTGTTCCAGTACAGTATTTGCCATAAGAAGGAATATTGAAAGAGTGCATCTCCAGTTACTTGCAGTGTTTTCCTGCAGTGGTCTCAAAGAAGCTGAGAGTCAGGATAACTCTGTCAATACAGCCCTAACCTGAGCACTCCTGTCAGCATTTCTCCATGTTCAGACACCTTGGTAGATTCAGGTAACAGAATGAGGGAATGCAGCAGCAGCACTTACCTCACCATTGTTTACTACAGCCATGGAGGAGGTCTGGCCACAAGCAATGCCAACCACAATTTTACCCTGCAAGCAGTTGGAAACTCTGCGAGGAGTTGGCTGGTTGGCTGTAGATCCGGATCCAACTTGACCACAGTTATTGTAGCCCCAAGCATACAGCTGTCCATGAAAACAAACAAACAAAACCACACAGTTTAAAGCTTAATAATAGTAATGATAGCAATAGATAATCTTCCTGTAGTCTGCACCAGATAGGGTAAACTACCCTACTCAACAAGCTAAAATGTTTAAACTTCATTTTCAACAGATGAAAATGATAAACAGCATTAGGACTCATTTAGCAAATAGGAATATAGCACTTTTCCCAGCTTATTGCAACAGTATGAGAGCATCTGACTAAAACAGGAAACAAAAGGAACATATTTCCATATTAAATACAAGTCAAACTGTAAGACAAAGAGCATTTTGTCTTTATAATATCATGGTGTTGGGAAAAGGAATGCAAGCCAAAGCGTCATTTTGTTTCCCAGACACACTAACTCCCCAGTTCAGAACTATGTCATTTTCTCCACAGAACTCTAAACCAGGTTATTGCTGGACACTCATCATACTTCTACATCTTTCAAAAGCTGTGAAAGAATAGGATTTTGTCAGCCCATGTTTCACAATAGTTAAATTCTCTCACACAGCAGCATTAATAAAAAAACCCCACAATTTCTGTCAGTTTAAAGTTTCTGGTAGCAAACTAGTACTAATACAAGCAAAAATACAAGTTCCTTTTATCTGAAAGTCAGGAAGACAGGGAAGTAGTTTGCTATAAAAAAAATGTAGAAGTTTGTGTTTTCAGTGCTTCCAATTTTTATTACATGTCTACATGCCCACAGCTTGACATAAAACTGTTTCTGATGGTTCATTCTCTGGTGCTTCACCCAGTTCATAAGTCTGCCTTCTTGGAAACACCTTCCACAGACATATTTAGCATATTTAGACAGGTACCCTCATGAGAAGCCTACACATCCCTTTGGTGCCAGAAGCTGCTTGTTTACTGCAACACCAAACCAAGATTCATTAAAAGCTAACACGTCCATCAGCACCAAAAACAAAAACCAACCCACCAAATACAAGAACATAAGACCCCCCCCCATCACCAACACAACATTTACAACATTACCAATACAACATTATAATGAATAATAATGAACAAAAGAAAGAATCCGTCCTTCGGTTTTTGTTACTTCTAACTGATGGATATTTGATTCCTACTGAATATTTGAAGATGCTTTATAAAATACTTCAATTTCAACAACAGCAAATATTTAGGTAGAATCTCAGAAGGTAGATCAAAATGCCAAAGGATGTGCCAGAGAAGCATGGATGTCTGCATTCCTTGTATTTGAATACTTATTTAAAATTTGCACTGCATTAAAACTGCACTGAACCAACAAATTATGCCAGGTATTGCCACAAATACTTCCAACTTCAATGTTTCCCTGAGGCCTCAGGTATATCAGGACACAAGGGGGCTAGCAGCCAAATCTTTCTGTAAAGCTGCTTAACACATTTTGCTGCTTTCAGTGCACTCAATTCTGGTAAAGGCTCAGAGTACAAACACACCAAGTTACTGCAAGGTACGCCAGGGATGGATTTAAAGTACATTAACGAGCCACACTGGAGCACAAGCTGCAAATACCAATTCCATAGTCAACAAAAAGAAATTACCCTGCTTCCACTGAGATTTCAAGCATGCCACATTTATGACAAGAGGTAGCATGGCCTTCACAGGCAGCTACCACACAGCAGCTGGCACCTCTAGTGTAAGTAATGCGTGAATGCCCTCTCCTTCCTGCATGCTCACCAAGTTTTATAGTTTCACCAAGCCAAACATGACAGTACAAAAATCTTTTCTACATGTAGGCTCTTCTTTCAGCTAAAACACAGACCACTTAACCCAATCTCTCTTTCCTACCCTTAAAATACTTGGCATTACTATTGCACTACTATTCCATACTGGACCTGCTCAGATCAGGATGAGAAGATCATCTCAGGATGGGAAGAACTGTAGTTTCCGTTTTAATTGCTAAATGGTTTTAAAATTAGAGCTTTTCTTTTGTTAGTGCACAGTTGAAACCAGATTTTCCACTGTGCATTGGTCAAATCTGCATAACTGGAAACTAATTGTATGTGTTTCCTATGACATGTAGCCTGAAGCCACATAAACAAACAGCATGAAGCAGACTTGGATATAAACCAAGTGCTCTTTCATTAGCTACACACCAAGGTATTCAGAGGTGTGCAGAGCAACATTCTTTGTCAGTACCAGTGTGGAAATGCAAGGCATTTCTACAAAACAAAATCCTAACCCAGGAAATACAAATTCAACACACCCACTAACTAACAGAACTGCAAGCAAATAAATTACATTTTGCACTTCACAAACCATTATTTCACCTCTAAGTGGCACATCTTTCTAGTCTCATCCCTCTCAGAGGCAGAAAAGTTGTATTTCCCTTGGTTTTGGGCTTGGTTTTTTTTTTTTGGCAGAGGGGTTTAGTAATTTGGTTTTGGGTTTGGTTTTTTTTTTTTTAGTTGTTTTCAAGTCTGCTCCGAAGAAAAGGACAGCCTAGTTTGAGGCAGCAGGAGAAAAAGTTATGTTTGTAATTACACTGTAGAAACAGAGAGAAGTTCAAACTGCAAGGTCACCTCTACTATTCACTTCAACAAGGAGATTAAGATATTTGAACAGGTTTCAACTTACATCCCCATCCATTGAGAGCGCCATGGAATGATGAGATCCACAAGCTACTTCCACCACTTTCTTTATTAACAGATTTGTGCAAACTTGAACAGGAGTAATGCCCTGATTGGTTGTGCCATTTCCAAGCTGGCTGTAACCATTATGTCCCCAAGCATACACTTCACCATCTGCAAAAATATTTGTGATGAAAACCACTAAAAATTCCAAGGAGGTTAAGACAGAATTTTAAGAAATTAGCAAATGCCAACATGAAATTGAAAGGATGTCAACCAAAAGTGAAAGTATTATTACAATCATCTGTATGCTAGAAAATTATATACTTTGTTTTATATAACATATATCAGCATAGCCTCTAGATTATGGGAACACATGGAAGTGCACAGGTAAGACAAAGTACATCACAAGTGACAGAATAAAATCCTACAACCTCAACATAATGGAAATGGAAACTTTACTGATTATAAAAAGCCATTTACTTCCACTTAAGACCAATGAGAACCTCTTAGTGTACATTAGCCAGTTAACAAGTTAATACAATTACACCATAATCCATTTCTGTTAAATGCAAGTGGAACTTAAAAATCTCTAACTTATGTTTCTATACTAAATGTCAATTTTCTACCTTCAGTACAAAGAACAACATGCGGTCCACTTCCATAACTGAGACTGGAGATCTTCTTTCCACATAAGGCTTCTAATTTCTTTGGTACTATTGTGCTCTGATTATCTCCAGTTCCCAAACAATTACTGCAATTCAGTCCAAAAACAAATACCTGAAAAACAAAAGAATAATCATTTCCAATGTTTTACACTCAGGTATGCACAGATGTGCAATACTCAGGTCTTCATTAACTGGGGACAGAGTTTCGCCTTGGACCTTCAGGGTCCAGAGATTTCCCACATGGAAATTAACAATCTCAAGAGTCAGCACAAGGGCACTTCGGATGTTAATTGATGAGTCTGAATTACTCAGATTTGCACAGTTCTGGAAGTTAGCCTTTTCATTTTTACAAACTGCACCACAAAGTCTGAAACTGTGAAAAGTGGAAGACACCGCCTCCTTTTAAAAGCAGTTTGTAAACAGCAAATAAAGCATAAGTATGCAAAGAGCTATAATGTGGGAGCCTCATCCTACAGGCACTATTGATAGGACTTAAGGGGGAAAAAAAAACCCAAAATACCTGTCTCTACCCAGTCTTATGAGAAATCTTCCCGTTAATACATCCCAGAACACCAGAACATCTGGCTTGTTTCCATTCAGCAGCACTATGCTAACTCATAATGAGTTCCTGAATCATTAAAATCTACAGATACACTTCCAAGGTATTTTTTACTTAGCAAGACATAACCTCATTTTCTATCTTCATACCTGTTTGCACTTAACTTCAAGCTACCACACCTTCTTTTAAATTCTGCCTGTCTTCAAAAGTGCATGTAATCCATCCTGACCTCTGCCATGTGAAAGTTTTCTAAATAGTCCATTTATATTGTCCCTACACGAAACTTAAAAAAAAAATAAAAAAAATCAAACATTATATCCACTATGTTTTGGAGAACATAAATTTCACATAATGCTTTTGAGAAGCTATTAATCTACAAACATTCTGAAAACAGCTAATTGAGGAGCAGCCACCCAGCTCGATGCCAGGCTCACCTCGTCGTTGTGCGTGATGTAAATGGCTTCATTGGCCGACGTTCCGAACACACACGCTTTCCGAATGGAAGCAATTTCTTGGGGGGACAGTAAGGTAAATATTGGCCACTTGCCTACATCCACCATGATGCTGCTTTGTGTCATGACGCTTCTACAAGCAAGAGGACATTGCTGCAACAAAAAACACCAAAAAGCTCATTAAAAAAAAGTATTTTGTGCTTTCATTAACAGACAAGAAGGTAAATTTCTTTATGTGGAGAAAAAAGACATGTAGGTCTGAAAGCAAATGTTCTATTCTGTAAGAAATATGTAATTGTATTTCCATGTATTTAGGTGAACAAAAGGTAGTCAGTAGAAAAACAGATTCTTTTCTTAACATGGTCCTTAAGTAAATTACATCCAATATAGCTGAATATCTGCTCTTTAACATGCAAACTTGTTAAAAATTTGTGATCTAGCAAATATCCACTGGTGGCAGAGTGGAACTCTGACAGAATTTTCAAAGGGGATTTCAGCTGCAATTCGAATTTAGAAAATTTTCACTTGTGAATTTTTTTTTTTGTAGCCTTACAAGTTATAAATGCCATGAAAGCAAGCAGTTGATACATGTTTCACCCTGAAAACTCAGTTTATCGACCTTGTTGACATAGTTTCTAAAGACTTTCCCAGGACAGTAACTGTAAACATAGATATGTGTACATTCTTTCTGATACACGTCTTCTGATAGACATCTCTCATGGCCAGTGCAGTTGGGAAGGTGTTATCCTGACCATCCAATAGAAACCTATAAATACTGAGAGAAAAAATAAAGTTCTCTCCTTCCTTCAGCACACCTCGAGCTGTGTCCGTGTGACTCATTTCGTGTCCAGCAGCAACACATATGTGAAACGTGCAAATAAAAATGAGGCTGGAGCTGTTGTGAACATGACCCAGATCTGCCATCTCTTGTGTAATCAAAAGCTGTTATGGTCAAAAAATATTTGTGAGAGCAGGAAAGCATGAGCTTGTGCAATTAGGCAGTGAAACATATCAGAGAACAGCAATTAAATAAAATTGCCATAATCTGTTACTTAGAAACAAGGTGGATCACGTTAACAGCTGGAAACATGACAGGGTATAGAGATGCTAGCCAGTGAACACAGATGTATACAACCATCCTTCTCCAGGGCTCCCTCTTCCCAGTTTCCTCAGGACAACTGCAGCAGCTCAATAGCAAAGCTGACAGCACAAACATCCAGAGCTTACTGAGGCATTCAACCCTGCTCATAACATCACTCGCACCCTGAAGGGACTCTGCCACTTACAATCTATGATCCATGCCCAGGGCTATCAGCAAGTTTTGTGAAACATGGAGAGCATTAGGTGAAGAATTCCACAGAATGTCAGTGACAAGATAAATCATCATAAAACAGTAAAAACCAAAAAGGCAGGGAATCATTTCATGGGTAAGAGTTGCAGTCTCTACCCAGATGCCATCCTCTCAACACTTCTTTCCTTTCCATTTGTTTGCTTCAGTGCAGCCCAATCCCCCTACTCTTGCTGCCTTGCTTTCAAGTCAGGCTACCTCTTGATGCCTGGGTACCAGATATGGATAACAGTGAGAACAAAAGACAGCCTCTCTGCTCTTCTTCTCATGCTTGGTTCTCAAAACTTTGCTGACAACCAAGACTTGGCTTCAGAGAGTCATTTAACAACAGAAGTCAACTGTTATTCAGTGCAGATGTTTCTTGGAGGAAGGGAGTTTAAAAAAAAAGTAACAACAATAATAATAAAAAAAATTAAGTTTGAGAAACACTGAGGTCACTGTGGAATTATGTCCACAGAAAAACCCCTAACACAAACAAAACCCAGGCAGCCGTTGCTTCCTTATCAGATTTCATAACCTTGATCCACCAAATCCAGCTCTGCTCTACAGGCACTGCTCTTACTAAGAGCCTGACTTAACTCTGCATTTCACATTTGAAGCAGGTCTTGAAAACATCTGAAACCTCCAGATGGCAAATATATCGTAATAGATGACAAATCATAATAGATTTAATTGTAGAACACTTTTTTTTTTAAGTCTACCTGATGCCTAGGCATAGAACATTCTACACAGCTAAACAGGTTTGGATGCATTTAAGCCTTCTTAATTTCTAGTCCAGTTACAAGCACAGGCTAGTTAGCTGCTAAGATTTGTTACCTCACCTTGGCAAATCTTTTAATGTATGACACTATCAATCAATTAAAACAAGGAAGCAATTACTTGTTCTTTTGAGCAGACCAAGGAAGTGTCCCTTCTGACTTCACCTATTTAACTTGCCTCATATAATATACAACTGCCAAAGCACAAACGTGTCAACCTGGATATTAAGAAAACTGTTTTTTTCACTGAAGAATTTTCAACATAAGCTGTGAAGTTAAGACATGAAGACAACGTGTTATTTTGCTAGAGAACGTCCTAGCAAATTGACAAGTTTTACGTCGCCCAGAGAACCTATTATACTCTAAAAGCACTAAGTGTGACATGTGCTGCCTTTTCTCTCCCTTCCTCACCTGTGCACTAGGTCTCTAATCCATTTGACTTCCTTTCTACTCTGTACGACTCAGTTAATCACTGCTCCTTGACAAAACCTTTCCAAGCACTTCCAAAACTTATTCAAGTTACACGGCACTTCCCACACCTCACAGACAGCTCAACCTGACATCTTGTCTGACAAACTAATACCCATCGATAGATAAAAGCTTTCAAGCACACCAGACTTCCCAAACTGGAGATATGAGCAATTAACTCCATCCACAGGTGAAGATCCTTACAATTGTTAACAGGTCTTAACAATTGCTTTGTTCAAAACAATGCTGCATATTTTCAGCCATTTCAACTGTTACTACAATGCTACAGTTATTCCAGGGGTTTTCCTCAAAAGGTTCTTAAGGACAACTCATCTGCCACTGGCAAGTTAGTTTCTTTAATAAATCTCAATCCTAAAGTCTATCCAGGTTTACCAACCAATGAAGGTTCACAAAAATCCTTAAACCAAACAAACAACAAAAAAGGCTCTCTTTTATGCAATATGTACTGTTTCTCCTCAAAGACGCACTTTTCCCTCCTCTTGAAATACTAACTACTGTCCTTAGATTCTGCTATTTGCTGGAGTACCCATCATCATTGTACCTTTCAACATTTCTATGGCAGCAACAGCAGCTATTTTCCTTTATCCTTTTGACTAAGAGAGAAATTACACACAAACCTGAAAGTTCTGGGCCTTATACTTTGACTACTGTTTCTTAACTGTAATTTTGCATAAAAAGCTGACTTAACTACCTATTCTTCACTTCCCACAGAAAACTAATGCTCCACCTAAGTAGAAGCACCACATTTTTCTCTCTAGAGACAGATTCCTTAACAAGCCCAGCCAACTTCCTAGTTTTCCAACAACAGTTCTGGCAGTCACAGGAAGGAAAAATAAAATCCACAGTGAGGAAAAAAGTATTTGAGGAATCTATTTTTAAATGTAGGACGCAAAGGGAGGTGTCAGTTAAATAACTCAGTGTTATTAAAACTGAAACCAAACTGATTCTAGCATCCTGTAAGACATACTGCACACTTTCCAAATGAGCAGATGCTCTGTGATACCGTGACTGACCTCTCACACCAACCACACTCACACTTCATCCCTGCACAATATTTGCCTGAATCTAGAGGGGACAGGTGTGTGCTGAGCTTCCACTGGGCAAATCCTTGCCATGAAAGGCTGGTGATCCAGGAGACTCCAGGCATGGCACCGTAAGCAGTAGAACAGAGAAACCCAGCGTCCTTCACTCACCCTTCCTGCAGTGTGTCAGTCCCAGACCTCAGGTTATTTACTTTTCCTGATAGGACCCTGCTACATCACACACTGTGCAAGGGCTGCACCTCAGCTGAGAAGTTTGAAAGGGCAAATGTACCAGATGGAACCCCAAGCAGTCAAAGTATTTTAATCTGCTTGCTAACAGCTCTCTCAATATATTGGCTCTCAAGCTATTGCTCAGATTCTGTGTGCAACAAGGCAGCAGTGGCTCTGAGGAGCATCTGTCATGTATCAACACACAGCTCTTAAGCTGATTGAAATTAAAAACTTTATGAGTATAAAACCCCTGAGCTTAAGACTAGTGCTGTAGTCACTTTTAGAAACACGGCATGCCACCTCTCAACTGTTAATTTCTGCCACATGATGCAAAGTTAAACAATTATACAACACAAAGCTTTATTTCTGCTGCAAAATCAACCAGCAGAGGGAGTTTACACCAACAACACCTCTTCTCATGGCTCTGCCATCTCCAAAATTAGCCAACAATCTCAGTATCCAAACAGGAACAGAAACAGAGATCAGTCCTTGAATTTCACTTGAATTTCAAGCTAAAAATGAGCAAGAAAAGGCAACTTGTAGAAGAAAGGAAATAGAACTGGCCGCATATTGTGATGAAAAAGAAATTGACATGGGGTAGGCATCAACATTAGAGGGAAAACATCTACATCTGCTCACAATTCAAAAAAGCCACACACTTTTGGAGCCATAGGCCCCTCAAAAATTCTGTGCTAATCTGCTGCCTACACTTTCATCTCCTCAGTAATTTGCTTATTAAATAAAAAGCCTGCAAGCCGATTCACAGTGGCACATGAAAGACAAACAAGAATCCCTGCCTAAAAAAAAAAGGCAACGTTTACAAAACACTTTGTTAAAATTATTTTAGATACCGTTCTACAGAGTTTATAGTTCAGCTAAATAAATCCACGCTGGATAGAACAATAGCCTAACACAACATCCTACTGGGAAAACAGTACCAATTGTCCTTGCAACAAAAAAAACACAGTTAACTCCTCAAAGATTATCCCCCTATTTGCAAAGGCTGTTAGAACACAATTGCACATTTGTTTGTTTCACTCTTTCCTCAGGCTCCAATGTCGCAGTTTATTCCAGCTGGGCAGACCTACTCCTGCACAGAAAAACTGCAGGCTCAGGCTTTCATTTCTCCTAATTGTCTTTGGGAATTATGAACAGCAGTGAGAGCACAAAAGCTGGCACAGGATACCTGGCTTTAGAACAACACAGACTGACTGGCACACTTAATCCCTTTTTAATTTGAAGTACACCTTAACCAAGGAAGAATCAAATCCTTCATATCACGCTGACCTTCCCCCAGTCTACGTTTGCTTTTTCTGATTTCATATTTCGGCATTGAGAAGGAATATGGAAACAATATACTATTATTATTATATTAACAATATGATTGTTATTAAGTAGATGTACGAACCAAGTGATGCTACTGAGGCATTCTCCCTATCAATGAAGAGATTGCACTCGCGGAAAACATGTGCCTCAACTTACTTTCCTCGGACCTTGCAGAAAACAAAATTTCCATGGCAAAACTCACGTGTTCCAAACCTCTACACAATTTATTCTCAGATGCCTTTAATGAGCCACACGGGGGAGGAAAGAACTGATGATCCAAGGGCTGACTACCAGACGTCCTGTTTGCTTTGAGCAACCCGCTGAGAGAGATAAGCAAGCAAAAAGCACTATAATGCACGTGAAGGCTACTGAACAAGACTGGTTTAGCCACAGGAAACCACCCTTATGAGGATGACAGTCATTCACCCACCATAACAAACCTCAATTACAAAACTGTAATTACAACCACACTTTGCCTTATTTTCTTTTTTTTTTTCCTCCGCTGAGCCATTAGTGCAACTTATCAAATCCATTCACTAAGGACAACACATCTTCTAAAGCAAAGCTTGCCCTTCAATCTGATGTATTCGTAGAGAGATAAGCATTCAAGGGGAAACATTCATATTTAGGCACTAAAGAACGAATGTATCTTCCAAACAGCTTCTAAATTTTCTCCTAAAAAACTTTATGCTCCATGTACATTTCCATTTATGATGCCTTGTACCCTTTTCTCTTAATCACACCCCTCGTCGGAACGATTAAAGCCCATTTTACCTTCCGTCAGTAGAGGACAACACAAACGGGTCACTTGAACTTTCTAAATCAGCACCTTGCAGGTTCCTTATAAAACAGGCAAATATTCCTTTAGCGTTAATTTACAAGAGCTTTCTAAATTGGAACTCTGCAAGTTCCTTTAAAAAACAAAATAAATACCCCTTCAACTTAGAAGAAGCGGGTTATAAAGCCGAACAAACGCTGGAAATGTTCATAGGAAGCCGGGCGAGGAAAAACAAAAAGCGTTTAATTTTTCCTGTCCCCCTTTATATTTTTTTCCCGACCAGCCGGGTACCTCAGTCAGGCTTCAGGAAGCCGGCGACAAAAGGGAAGGATAAACCGAAACACCACGAACCAGGAAAGGAAAAAAAAAAAAAAAAAACGAAAAAAACCCCAGTATGTAAGAACATACAGTGTTAAGGACATGCAGCAGGAGCTTTCCAGAGGGCTGTGGGGGAAACTGGCTAGCGGCGAGACAGAGCACGGGTGAGGGTCCCCACCCCAGCCCTGCTGTGGCGGCAAGGACCCTCTCTCTCCCTCCCTCCCTCCCTCTCTCCACTCCTCGCGCTCCGCACGGGCACCGCCACCCTCGCAGCCCCTCACAGCCGCGGTGCCCGCCCGCAGAGCCCTAACGGGACGGCGAGGGGCGGGCGCTGCTCACCC